ATATTCATTATCATAATAATATAATTAATTCTAATTATCCTAAAATTAATAACTTAAAATTAATAGTATAAATTACAATATCGTAATGTAGCGAAAATCACAATATGAGAATCTATCATAAATATTAATAAAATATTAATAATCCTAAATTATATTCTAAGACACGTCGTTATACTAACATTGCCATTTACATTATTAGAGAAAAAAATAGGAATGAGATAGTTTACATAAAAATAATTTATATAAAACTATTCTGATTTTCCGTTGTGCTAAACAATTACTAAAACAATTCTAGTTCTGATTGTTTAGAGATTGTTTGGTTCTCAAAGCAATCTTAGCTCTTTGTTCAATAGTGCTAATTTGTTCAAATTTATGCGATCATTTTCAATTTGAGTAAATAAGTCTAAAATGCTCTACATAATAAAAAAATAAAAAAATTTCAAACAGGTGTGACTTTAACAGATAAGTTACCAAATATCAGAAAAAGTTTTAAAGACATTAGTAAGAAAATAAATTATACATTTTCAGTCAAATAAATCTGAAAAAATTAGTAGGATTAAATAATATAAATAACGACAAAAATTAGCACTATTCTAGAACTTATATTCCATTAAATACTGTTCTTTAAAATTTAGAAAATTATTATTATTCCTCTAAATATTCCAAGAATAGGAGAAGATAAAAATACCTCAATGTGATAAATATTATCCTCAGAAAAATTAACTCACGTATGAAATAACAAATTATAATTAGAAATATAGAAAAATCCGATGGCCATCTTAGATGGCTATCTTCATTTATTATGTGAAATAATAGATCCCATAACATAAAATAAGCGATGTAATGAAAAATTTGCATTTTACTATTCGTACTTTCCGTTATTTTAATTATTCTTAGGATAGTCACACGCATAGATTCAATTTGCTGTTCCATTCTGTCCATGGTCCTTTTTGAAGTATTATGTGTCTGAAAATGATTATTTCTATTATACGCGCGCGTCAAATTTCTTTTTGACATTCTACCGATAAGATGTAAAACATTATTCAAAATTAATTTTCGAATTATTTGACAAATTGCTCGTATATTGTTCTAATATTGAGCTTGCTGAATTAATAATGAAAAATATTATCCCCAAATTATTTATTCAATAAATAGAAATGCATTAGTATATAAATTCTATGTTGAAAATAACATTATGTATAAATAATTTGTTTATAAACATGAGGAAAAGAGTAATAACATAAATAAAATGTCATTTATTACAAAAGTAAACATATTATTATAAATATTAATTAA